AGACAAAAGGACACGAAAATGGTCCAATTAGGGTGCTGCAAATTATATTATATATTATTATATTATAAAAATATTATGTTGATTGGAGCATTTCCCCATCATTTGGTTCACAGATAAAGTGAGAAAAAGAAACCAAAAGAGGGAAAAACAGGAGGAGTAGTAAAACATGATTTGTGATTCGGCTATAATTTGGTTTAGACATGTTAAGTTATTGCTCTAGCATTTTACACAGATTTCATTAAAGATACACTCCACGCACCACAACAACTTTACCACAATAAATTGCCTAGAGTCCCCTGACGCAGTCTTACTTTAAAGTGTTAAACTATTCTCGGACAGTTTAAAACCATGCTCCAGTCCTATCACGGGACACTTGCTATCACATCGCTTAGCGAGATATTAATCAAAGTTATGTAATCCCTTCAAAAGGGGGTTAGTAAGTGGGTATTTATTCTGTGGGTTAGAAATTAGGGATGACTTTTCGTCCCTGAAATACCAGAGTAGTAGGCTACAGCATCCCCCACTATTTAGGCTGCCGAGCAAGGCAATAATATAATCCAGTGGGGCTACACAGACACCACCAAAGCCATCGGCCTGTGACACGGCACCACCTCCAGTATCGTATTTAGATACCATATCCAGGTAAAATTGGGGATATACTTGTGTGTTACGAAATGAGCAAGGGTACAACTCCTAATAAGTTAAGAAAGAGCATAATAGACAACCCAAGGAGTTAGTTGATGATCCAAGAGTGTATGAATCTACACTTAGAATGAAGAAACTGGGGGACTGGACAACATTAAAACTATCTGGAATTAAACTAAGTTGTTTTTTTATGATAAGATAGCAGAAGGAATTAAAAATAATTCTAATTATTTTTTTTGTTTTTTTAGGTGAAGAGGGTGACAGCCCCCTAGCTGTGATCAGGGGAGGTACCCCAAAGCGCCAGACTCTTATATTTCCTGTGATTGCATTTCTGGAGTGCAGAGTTCATTGTGGTTTTACTGTACTTCACAATATGGTTTATTTTTATCCCTTTACAGATGTATAGCTGTATCCCAAATATGGTGTGTATCTTATTCTTCAATAGGAGGTTATACATTGGGAAAAAAACACCTGGGATTCTGCATGATTTAAATAGGTTAAGTACAACGGTGTGTGGGTGTGTTTATGGTAAAGTGGAATAATACACATTTCATTTGTTTTGTTTTTTGTTATTGCCATTTTTCAGTTTTATAGTATATGAAACAGCATCACTAACCCTTATCCCGGTGGCAGGATTAGGCGAGAGCAGGGCCGCCATCAGGGGGTGACAACCGTGACAGTTGTCACGGGCCCGGCGGCCCTGGGGGGCCCGGACTGCTCTGTCAGTCCTGGGCCCCACTTTGTTTCTCTGCACACATAGATAGCGAATCTCGCTATCTATGTGTGCAGCCGCGGGCCCCTGGCTCCCTGTTACCGTCCGCAGAGGGGGCCCAGGCAGCACAGGAGCAGCTTCTCCTCCTCTCTTCTCATAACTCTCGCGAGACCCGGTTACCATGGCAACGCTCCGCGGGTCTCGCGAGAGTTATTAGAAGAGAGAGGAGGAGGAGAAGCTGCTCCTGTGCTGCCTGGGCCCCCTCTGCGGACGGTAACAGGGAGCCGGGGGGGCCCCCACCGGACCACCACTGATGGAATCTCCCCCCTCCCTGGACACAGGTAAGCAGGGAGGGGGGAGAAACAATTAAATTAATTAAAAATTCATGTTAAAATGCCCCTTCCTCCCCCCCCCAGATCACACATTTACACAACACACACACTGCATACACTAACACAACACACACTGCATACACTAACACACAACACACACACTCTGCATACACTAACACACAACACACACACACTGCATACACTAACACAACACACACACACTGCATACACTAACACACAACACACACACACACACACACCATACACTAACACACAACACACACACACACACTGCATACACTAACACACAACACACACACCATACACTAACACAACACACACACACCTGCATACACACTAACACACAACACACACACTGCATACATAACACAACACACACACACACACCATACACTAACACAACACACACACACACACTGCATACACTAGCACAACACACACACTCCATACACTAAAACAACACACACACTGCATACACTAACACAACACACACTGCATACACTAACACAACACACACTGCATACACTAAAACAACACACACACTACATACACTAACACAACACACACTGCATACATTAACACAACACACACATTGCATACACTAACACAACACACACAATACATACACTAACACAACCCACACACACTGCATACACTAACACAACACACACTGCATACACTAACACACAACACACACTGCATACACTAACACACAACACACACTGCATACACTAACACAACACACACACACACTGCATACACTAACACAACAAACACACACACACATGCTGCATCCACTAACACAACACACACTCTGCATCCGCTACACACTAACCCACTCTCTGCATTCACTACACATTAACACTCTGCATTCACTACACATTAACACACACACTCTGCATCCGCTACACACTAACACACACACTCTGCATCCGCTACACACTAACACAATCTCTGCATTCACTACACTAACACACACTCTGCATCCGCTACACACTAACACACTCTCTGCATTCACTACACATTAACACACTCTCTGCATTCACTACACTAACACACACTCTGCATCCACTACACACTAACACACTCTCTGCATTCACTACACATTAACACATTCTGCATTCACTACACATTAACACATTCTGCGTTCACTACACTAACACACACTCTGCATTCACTACACATTAACACACACTCTGCATTCACTACAAATTTACACACACTCTGCATTCACTACAAATTTACACACACTCTGAATTCACTGCACTAACACACACACTACATTCATTACACTGACACACTCTGCATTCACTACACACTAACACACACTCTGCATTCACTAAACTATGCATACACTATGGATTCACTATACTGACACACAATCACGCATTCACTACACTAACATCCTGTATTCACAGTACACACACTCCATCCACCACACATTGAAACACTCTGCATTCACTATACACAGACACTGCGTCTAATGCACGCACTACATCCACTAAACACATTTCATCTAGTACATACAAACACTACATCCACTACACAAACACACACTACATCACTGTACACACAGTATATCCACTACTCAAACACACTCTGCGTTCACTATACACACTGCATCCGCTACACAAACACAAACTCTGCATTCACTGTACAAACAGTATCTAATACACACAAACACTACATCCATTACACATATTCTAATTCACTTCCACTATACACACCACATTCAGTCCTGCATCATTGTCAGCGGACCAGGTAGGGCGTGTGCGGGCCCGGGAGGGAGGGAGGGGGGGGGCCCAAACCTGGTGCTTTGTCAGGGGCCCCAAAATTTCTGATGGCGGCCCTGCACAGGACTAATGTGGGAGGGGGAGACCAATCTCAGTCAGTTGGTCCCCAGGTGCATGCGACTCGTCTCCGCACCCGGGCAGGGTAAGTTGTGGAGGTGCTAGGCTCATGTCCGGTGGGAGGCTGGATAGAGTAACAGGGTCTGGTTGGCGTCAGGGACTCGGGTCGTTTGTCACACTCCTGTAGCTGAGAAGCTGGGGTACCTAGGCGACCGCATGTCCCGTCAGCAGCTGGGGGAGGTCGGAGCATGGTAGTACTATCAGCCATTGCTAACCTAACATTGTGGCTTGTAATCTAACAGAAACAACAATATGTACCGGGAGTGGGGGGAGCGGGTCCAAGGCTCTAAAACCGTGTCCGAGACCCATCCCAGGCCGGGCAGAGGACCCTGCACAGCACGTGGCGCCCTGTTGATAGCTCTATGCGGGAGGGTACCAGGAATAGGTAGTCTGCCACTGTATGGGAGCTACTGGGGAGGGGGAACAAAAAAAAAAAAAAATGAAAATAAATACATACACATGCATACATACATACCTACATACATACATACACGTACCTATACATCTACAGATATATACATATACATACACACACATACATATAATTTTTTGCTGGCAGGGCCAAGACCAACCAGAGGCCAGGCCCAGGACCAGGGGTCCGGCCGGTGTCAGAGTCAAGCAACCTGATAGGCTGGAGGCCAGAGTGCTAGGGGGTCCTCAAGCTGCCTCAGTGGTTGAGAGAGGTCTGAGCAGGGGGGCGGTGCCGGCCAGCGTGTTTAGGGCCGTATAGCGTGTATAGCCTTGTAGCGGGCAAAAACGGGAGGGGGCTCCAAGAGCCGGCCGGGCACATATATACGGCTAATCCCGCCCGTCAGGCCGTCAGTTGCCAAGCATTCTTAGCCCCGTGCATCAGTTAAACAGTCCCTTTTGATGCGGTTGACAGCAGCTGACTACATAATAAGCTATGGAAGAATGGTCACACTCACACACACACACACACACACACACATACATACAAACACACACTCACACCCACCCCCCCCCGTTGAAATGCGGGCTCCAGCCCCAATTCCCCAAACATGGACCCGCTGATACCACCACAGGGCAGGTAGGAGGGGGATTCGAGCAGTCTCGCACAGGTACCCTGGGCCCTAGAGACCCTGCTTCCACAGGTTGTCCCAATTAACCATATCCCCCGTTCCCCTCCCAAAAATGTCCGAGACCTGAGGGTCAACCCTCCCCATCTGTGCCACGTGCGTAGTCCCGGGTGCTTCATGGGGGGCAGGTGGGCTGCCCGCCAAGTGTCCCCCCGGCTGTGAGGAGGAAAGAAGCTAGGTGCCATCACTCAGTTTGCGGTGTTGCCGCCCAGGGAGCCCCCGGAAGGGCGATGCCGGTCCGGGAGGGACGGCGCTCTCCGGACACGGGCAGAGATGTCTGCAGCTACTCCTCAGATCCATGGGGGCCCCCCCAGCGCACGGGCTGCGCTTCCTTCTGTGCTTGGGTACGTAGCAGCTGGGGGGCCTCAGGGTGGTCCAAGCGCGGTGGGGGTTGGTCGAGGATCCAGTTGCGGATGGTGACTGGCGGCAGGTCCAGGGCACGTAGGAAGCTAGGAAGGTCATTGGGCCATCTCAGGGAACGCCAGGTATTGTCCTTTTTGGCCTGAAGGCAGAAAGGGAAGCCCCATTTATAAGGAATGCGCTTTTCCTGGAGGATGAGCGTCAGCGGCCTTAGCGCTCTCCGGGCGTCCAAGGTGAGGGTGGACAGATCCTGGTACAGCGATATTGGGGAGTCCTGGAAAATGATGCGTTGCGGGCGTGCTGCTCTCATGATGGCGTCTTTAAGCTGAAAGGAGAGAAGGCAGCAGATCACGTCTCGTGGGAGGCCATCTCTTCTCGGGGGACGCAGAGCCCTGTGGGCGCGCTCTATGTTGTATTCGTCCGGGGCCTCTTCCCCCAGAATGTGGGTAAACAGCTGTGGGAGGACATCCCCGAGGTCTTCATTATCTGCTTCAGGAAGGCCTCTAACCCGAATGTTATTGCGCCTCCCCCTATTATCTAAATCTTCTACTTGCCTGCGGAGCTCCAGGAGCACCGACCCCTGTCTGGCCGTGGCATGGTCAGCAGCCTGGGAGTGCTGGAGGGCCTGCAGATTTTCCCTCTCCAGCTCTGTGACTCTGTCTTCGAGGGCTGTGAGGTCTTTGCGCACCGCCATTATCTCCTCCCGGATCGCCGCTCTCAATTCCATAACCAGGTTAGTTTTATCATTTTTAGTGAGCATATTAGCCGAGATGGAGGCTAACTCGGCCGTGATGTGGGAGAGAGCCTCCCCTCGTGCCGAGCCCAGCTCTGAATCTGCACCGCTCTCTGCACTTGGGGAGGCGGCGGCCATCTTGTCAGCGGGCCGCATGGTTCGGAGGCTGTCGGGGGTAGAAAGGAAATCATCCATCGGCCCGGCGTATTTCCGCGGAGGGCTGTTGCCCGAGGGTCCTGGGGTGCCCTGGCGTCTGGGTTTCCCCATTCTCATGCGGCAGTGTAGCTGATTACTAGGGGCGATGTGGGCCGGGGTCGCGGAGCTCCGGCGATGTACGGCTTACTCCATTTGCCAGCAAGCCACGCCCCCCTGAGTCTTATTCCATGGAAGGGAGATCTTCACAAATTTCTGTGTGGTATCGAGGATATCCAACTGTACTGCAGTTGATAATCTTCTTAGTTACTCCCATTGATTCAAGTTGTTCTTGGGTTGTTGCACTCCAGGACCTGGCCATTGGGCCTAGATCTTTCCATGAGAAATCAGGGGACTTAGTGAAGGATATGTGTGGAACAGCTGTCTCCCAGTGACGGTAGAGGTGGGATACTTTTGTTGGGAGGTGCACCAGTAGGACCATGTTGCCTCTGGAGTCCCATAACAAGTCTGTCAATGTGATGTGAACTTCCACAAGTTGAAATAGTTCTTCATAATCCACATCAGGGCCTGGGTTGTCTTTGAACCACAGGGTACAGTGTAACAAGTTCTCAGATTGTACATCATGTGGAGCTGCAAGTGTAGGTTGTTGGAATTCCATCCGGGCATCTGGGTTGATATCCAGGCTGTACCTGTACTGTGCCACTCCCCCCTTGGGAAGTAGCAGAAGAGTGGCCGGGTTCAGTGAGTAGTAACGTTGTCAGGCAATAGTAAAGAAGTTTGCAAATGCAAATAACGTTGAGAAGAGAGGTGCCTTGGTTGGGTCTGTTGGAGAATTGCAGAAATATCATGTCGAGCTAAAACAGTCAGAGAATGACAAAGGACGAAATCATTAGTTTTGTCCAGGAGGGCACTAGCAGCAAACACTGCCCTCAGACAGTAGGGACTGCCTCTGGCAACAGGATCAAGCATGCAAGAGAAGTAGCCAATGGGTCTTTGTCTTGAGCCATGTTGTTGAGTGAGAACTCCGGAGGCGTGGCCCTGTTTCTCAGACACGAATAACTTGAAGGGTAGCTGGTATTTCGGTAGGCCCAAGGCAGGTGCAGATGCAATGGCTTTCTTCAGAGCAGTAAAACAGGCAAGGGCATGAGATGAAAGTGAAAAAGTTTTTTTTTTTTTTTTTAGAGCATCATATAGAGGTTGCATCAGTTGAGAGGCTTTGGGAATCCAAGATCTGCAATATGTGATGAGGCCTAAGAAGGCATGGAGAGATTGATGAGCCACAGGTAATGGTAGATTCAAAATTGCCAAAATTCTTTGTTTGGTGAGGTGACGGGTGCCATGGGAAAGACAATGTCCCAAGAAGACCACAGAGGGTCGGCACCACTGGAGTTTTGATTTGGAGACTTTGCAACCTTCCTCAGCAAGGAAGCAGAGGAGATCCTCAGAATCTCGTTCAGCAGTGTGGAGATCAGCAGCACAGAGAAGTAAATCATCAACATATTGGAGTAAGACTACATCTGAATGAGCCTTTTGCCAGGGTTCCAGAACCATTGACATGGCGCGTGCAAATTGAGTGGGTGAATTCTGAGCCCCCTGAGGCATAACAGTCCATGTATATTACTGACCTTCATGAGTAAAAGCAAAGAGGTATTGGCAGGATGTGTCCAGGGGCACAATGAAAAATGCATTAGCAAGGTCCACTACAGTAAAAGTTGTGGCAGAGGGTGGGACCTGTGACAGTAGCGTATGTGGATTAGGGATCACAGCTGTATCCTTGACATCATTAACTACACATAGATCTTGGACCATGCGGTATTGATCAGGCTGTCCCTTCTCAGTCTTCTTCTTTACAGGGAAAAGGGGAGTGTTACATGGTGATACACACTTGACAAGGGCTCCCTTGGCTAGAAGGTTTTCCATTTGCTGAGAAATAGCAAGAGCTTGTGCAGGTTTCATCGGATACTGTGGTCTTCGGGGAGGCGCTACTCCTGGTAGAAGTGTGACCACAACTGGGGGAACTTTAAGGCGTCCAATATCATCAGGGCCTGTGGACCAGAGCTTTGCAGAGATCCTGTCTAGAGCACTGGGGGCATGAGGGACCCTTGATTCCCCCATAGGAGATGTGAGACGTAGTAAAATGGGAAGGGAACAAAGAACTGAAGTGTCTTTTCGTGATAAAGGTGTATTTAATTGAACCTGGCCGTCTGCATTGAGGGTGATGGATGCTTGGAGGCGGGATAGGACATCAGCACCCAAGAGGTTAATGGGACATGTGGAGGTGACAACTCTGTATGGGCTG